CCTCGTAGCTCCAATGTTTTATAATGTTACCCATAACCCATATAAAATTATAGAATTAAAGTTCTTAAGGTTTAAATTTAAACATCCTAAAGTGAGAAACTGCAAGCTAATAAAAACTCAACTTCATGATTTGCTCTCCCTCCCTGTCGTGCTTGTACCTAATGGCAACATCTGGCTTTTGCCAGTCTGTCGTGTGAAATTTCATCTAAGTGCACAAAGTACCTGCTAAACTAAAAAATATGCAAGGCAAAGCACTTTTTCATTCGGTGCATGAAAGAGTTCAGGTCTGTGATTGTAAATTTATTCTAAATTTATTCTAAAACACACATGCTTAATGACTGTGGTCCCAAGTCCTGCAGTTTCGACAGCATATGTGCTCAGGACACAACTCGTTGGATCTCAAAAGCAAAATGACACTCATGTGAGAGCATTCAAAACACAAAATAAGTCAAAATGCATTGAGAAACCCTGAGTCCTGGAGTGCTGGTTGAAGGGAGCTTTTAAAGAGCGTCTAAAATAGCTTTGCAAAACACCACACACTGAAATTGCTTCAAGGAGCAGAAGTGGGCAATAGGCTTAGTGTTGATGCAAGGGCAGGCAAGGAACAGTTGGTCTTTGCTGCTGACTGGGACAGTCGGGGTGGGTTTGTGTGACACGGGGAGTGCCACAGCTCTGTGTCTTCGCAGGACAGCCTGAGTGCCCTTTTCTCCTCCTGCTGCACAGAAAACAGGGCACTGTGAGCACAGACCTGCTGGAGGGTAGGAACCATCCCTCTTGCCCACACAAGAGTGCGTCTGAAGGGCTAAACTATAGCTGAGATGGGACCCAAACAAGCCACATCACTTCTGCCTCCTCTACGCCTTGTCCATCCGGTCTCTCCCATATGCAGCAGATAAATGCCTCATTATCAGATTCCTCTGCTTGCTTCCCGGTAGACTTAAATTACCATGTTAAATAGGATAATAATAAACACTGGCCTTTAACTACAGCACATCCTTGTTCACTCAGCAGCCTCCCTCTAATCTGATAAAGGGTCTGTAAAAGGCTACAAAGAAACAGGGAGTTAGTTGTTACAGGGATGCCTCTCCCCTGCTTTCCCCAGTGCCATTCCCATGGTAGCATAAGCAGGCTCAGTCTCAGGAAACTGGTATAGGGAACCTTGATCCCTACTAGAATTAACAGGTACCGAATCAGGGGAAAGGTACCACAAGGACATCATGGATCTGGCCCAAGGCTCTTCTGCTGCATTTCAAAAGGCAGAAGCAGCCCCGTGCCATCTGCTCGCTTCAGCACTCAGACTCCGAAACGAAAGCAGCCAAGGAAATCTTTCCGGCTTAGGAGAGCAGTGGGGAAGAGGAGATCTCAGTGGCAGTGTGTACAGAGCTTGCTGTATTTGAGGTATTACAGAAGCTCTCTTTAACAACTACTCTGAAAAAAAAGTCATCTATCCACCAAGAATAAATTATACAAAAGGAGCAAGCTGGATCGGGAACGGAGAGGGCTGATTTGCCTAGACTTTGAATCCCCTTAGCCCCTAGAAGCTGAAAGTGCCATTTATTGCAGTGTTACAGGATTTCCTGCCCTTTTTTTTTTTTTCTTTTCTCTTTTTTTTTATTTAGTTTACCTAATCCCCCGGATTTCTCATTGGAGAAAGAAGAAAAAGCCTTACAAAACAACAGGGGATAAACACAAAGTCAAATTACTTTGCTGAGCTCTTTCACACATCCATAAAGAACTGGAAAACTGCAAACTCTGGAAAGCAAAAGGAGTTTCCTACTGACAGAGGGTATTCCAACCATCACCCCTGCAAATACAACCGTTCCTGCAGTTCCCAATTAATAAAACAAAACTTAAACACTTGCACTAGCAGCAGTATATCTGTGGAAGTAAGATGGTTTTCCTCTATTTTTCCAGAGCAAGACTTGGCTTTCTACCTGTCTTCCTCCTCTTCCCTCAGCATCAGCTTTGCAGAGCTGGCAAGCAACACAAAAAAGGAGGAAAGACATGAACTAGGCCGTCTGTCGTTAGAGGGTATGAAAGACAGTCTTAATAACAGCAGGAGAGAGAAAAGCAGCCTATGGTTATTTTTGACAGAATCGGGCGAGACTCAGATTGCAGCTTCATAAACAGTTCATCAGAGAAAAATTCTGTCCAAATTGGAGAAGCCCCTTTGGCCAAGCTAACAGAAATACACAGTCCTTGTCTGTAAGGGAGAAATTTTTCAAAAATCAAAATGCCTTTCTTCAAAGAACAAAACCAAACTGTCACCCCCCACCCTGCATGGTGTAGTAACACTAACTTGCATTTTTGTCACTGCAATTCATGGCTTGCAGAATATTCAGAGAAAACTTCTGAGTGATACCAGCCTGTGCATGTTCTGCATGACACAAAGCCATGACCATGCAATGAAACGAAAAACAGACTTTTTCCGACGCCACCTGACCACAAGGACTCCTTGATGTACCATTCTGCAAAACTGGAGGTGATGCAGAGAGGCAGAGGGCAGGAAACTGCCTGGCATTCCTCCAATCCACCCAGCTCAGATAAAACAAAAATGGTTGTTTCATGTGGGTGTTTGCACAGAAGAGCAGCATGGAATTCGACCACACCTCTGAACAAAAAGTCAAAATTCAGTCTCATTATTAAATGCCAATTAGCACAGGTGAAGTACTTCTCTTGCGTTGTGATAACAAGACTATCAGACACTTTTTCAGGGCAACCTTTTCTGTTTATCTGTTTCTACAGTTCTTAACAACCTCTCACGCAGAATCCTTTGTGCTACCGGATTAAGAAAATAAAGATCATTCCTAGTCAAGACGTACCGACAAGACATTCAAGAGGTTTCTACATCTAGCAACCTTGCTGGCAGATTCAGACAGGAGGAAAAGGAGATCCAGCATGGAGATATGCTCCTCCAAAGCTTCCAAGGGAAAAGCTGACCATCAGAGGAGCTTGTTGCTGTGTCAGGGAAATGTAAATCTGAAGGTTATTCTGTCTTTCTTGAGGATTAATTTCATTTACTCATTAAAACATGTAGTGCCTGAAGTGACATAAAAACATCATCTCTGTATGGCTGAAAAGAGTCCAAACAAGAAAAAGAAAAATAAAATAAACCCAACCACTTTTCAAAAAGAATGTTGAATATGGGGACTACAAGGCTTCATAATTAGTCTACAATGATTTGCATGACCTGTGCTTAATCCTTATGCCTTCCAGCTGCCTGACAGACAGGTACAGTATAATTGAAGACACTACAGCAACAGGAATCAATGGCTTTCTTCTATCTAACCACAATATCATTCTCACTTCATTTACTGCTTAGTGGGAAGGCATTTCTGTGGCCCAGGAATCAGCTCTTTCTAAATGGACGAGTCTCAAAGTTCAGCATTTTAGTGGTTTAAACTAAGCAGGAGTTTGCTCATCCATAGCAGCCTGGACTGCAGAAAATCCAGTCACTTGACCTCGTAATGCTGCTTTCTATCCAACATTACAAGAAAAAGACACTTGCTGAGGGCTCTATGCTAACATAGCAGGGGGGCTACACGCTACATCAATCCAAGGGATTGGGATCCCTCCCTCTAGGGAGGGAGCTGGAAGCAGATCTACACTGAAACACTCCAGCCAAAAATACCTTCTGCTTCTGAAGGGAAAGAAGAATCCAGTGCAGGAACCTGATTAGCAGCAAGGTATGGGGGCAGATGAACTCCATCCCTGACATGGGTATGACACCAATGCACCAAGCCTTTTCACCAGAAGTGATATATGCATGCACTCCAAAATGAACAAGCATCACTCAGTGCACAAGACTCCTTAAATTGGGCCAGCAAAGAAGAGGCCACTGAGAGGATCCTCTGCCCTGTCTCAGGGCAAGCAGAAGCTGCTGAGCCTGGGCAGTGAGTTGCACAAAAGCACAGGAGCACCAAAGTTGTGCTGTGTGCCTCACGCAGCAGCAGTCACCTCTCACTGAACTGGAAATCTCAAGCGAGTGCTGTTTTGCACTGTTGGTCAGCTGCTAGCCCACAAAATAATTTAATGATATTCTCCATAGTGCGTGCACTTTTAAAGCTTTTTAGAAGCAGTGCCAGGAGTGCAGTAAGAATGAATAACTAGCTAGTAACCTTAGAGCCAGGCACACGTGCATATCTAGTTATGCCTCTGAGCTGCACTAATTATTTATAATGCTAGCAACAATTTAATGTACCTAACCTGAGGTGTAAATGAAAGCATACAGGTATTTGGGGAGAAAAATGCATTCTGTGAAACAAAATATTCACTCTCAGTCTACATGTAAGCATATGTTATATTTACACAGCTATAATACACAGAACTCTCACGTGCCTAAATATGCACAGACAATACGGTGAAAGAAAGCAAGCTAGCTAAGCATAAATACTTTACGTGCATACAGAAAAACTGCAGGAAAGAAAAGCAACCCTTTCTTTTAGAAAAATACCAGTGCCAAAAATCAATCTTTTAACATGACTGCAGAAAAGAAATCAGATTTTGGAAAAAGAGCAGGGTGACTTTATTTTGTAATTTTTATTGCCTCTGGAGCAATGACATTGCAAGAGCCCACTGCTATCATTTCTCCCCTTTTGTATCCTTAAGATTATTCCCACCTGGGGTGCAAACAGAGGAAACAAAAGGAAGTAGAAAATTATATTTTTCATGAGCTAATCCTGGGAAAGTAACCGCTCAGGTTTCCATATTTCTCGGCAATGATAATTTAAAAGAAGGACGGCAATCTTTTGTTATTTTTGCACAGTTGGAATACATGCTTCCAGATAACAGACATTTAAACTGCAATTTAAGAAGAGGAGGAAGACAGTAATCAATAGGTATTCAGGAGTCCTCTCCTTTTAGAACTGCTGCATAGCTCAACACAGGATGCTTCAAAACAGAGAGCCCAGATGCAAGCCTCATTGGAAACCCTGATGGCAAGCAAGACCATCGGAAAAACACCCTCCAAACTGAAAGCAAAGAGAGCACAACTACTGTACCTTTACTTTGGGGAGGGTTCTGACTTCTGTCTCGAAGAACATTAATCTGGTAGACAGCTCCATAAGGCTCAAAAAGTTCTTTTAACTCCTTTTCCGACCATGAGCGGGGAATCTGTCCAACAAACATCTTAATGGCATCTGGGTCTGGTTGGTCTGAATGATCCAAAGCTCCATTCATCTTGTTAGCTGTGCCGTTACTAGAAAGTGGAAAAGGAGATTAAAAAGGCAAGTTAGGAGACTACGCAGTTTTCATGTGCACTAGATGCAGAAGATGATGTCAATTGGCACAAAGCAGGAAAAAAAATTCAGTCTTTAATTAATAGCATAAGTATTATGAACAAAAAACCCAATGCGATTACATTTTTCATTGAGTCTGGCTTTCGCTGCAGGCTGCTGCTTAATGTCATTATATAAGAAGAGAGAGGCACAACGCAAACCAGGACTTGTGCATTTTAAAGCAGAAGGTAGTTGCAAATAAGTGCAGCTTTCTCTCCATGGCTGTTGTAAACAGAACTGCAGTGAATTCTCACTAAACTGGCTACTGGCAGAAATCAGGCAGTGCGTGTGTGTGTGTTTTGTAATAAAGTCACATGAAAGGAATATGAAACACTTGGCAATCTGTCAGATGACTAATGCAAGATGCCAGCAATGAATTTGCAGATTGTGTGAAGCATCCATGTGTGCATCAAATTAGGATGATATTGCCTAGAATGGAAAACACTCCAGCTATGTGGCTGGTTGCTGCCGATTAGTTGCCTGCGCTCTTTAAAGCAGGAAAAGTAGTCTGGAGAGCTCCAGTTTAAAGTACATTGTTTAATGCAACCTGGCATAAAAAAAAATCTCACAATTCAACAAGAAAAGGCTTTGGCAAAATTGCCTATTTTGTTGAGAAAATCAAAATGCTGCTTCAAAAAGTTTTTCTCTCTGCAAAAGGACATAAAATTCTTAAAATTTTTCACGCCCTGTAAACTGTTACATATCTGACCTCCAGCTGTACATGTGATTTCAAAACAGCTACACACTTTTGCAGTGAAAAGAACTTAGTAACAAATATTAACCTGCTCTGTGAGACCAAGGACATATAGTTTGGGAAGAGTTGTACTCTTATAAATAAGCAAATAATTTTAAATACGAAACAAAAGTAAAAACACACAAAAAAAAACCCACCCTCCTGTCATTACTGATAATTAAGGACAGTAATTTCAATTAATTACTTGGCTAGAGATTCCATAAGTGATAATAATTTTTGGATACTTCAGTTTCAAGAAAGAACACTAACGGGATGTGACTTTTAGAGCATTCCCTCATCTTTCTACCAAGGCAAGAGGGGAACTGGTCTGTGTTCAGCAGTGCCAAAAGTTGATTGTTGTAGAATTCATATATTTCAGTACCAACTGATACTTTTAAAAAACTTATTTTTAATTACAATATTTTCCATTCAAGGACTGTTCAGAAATGAATGCCCATTGGAGGACTTGGAAGAGCTCAAAAATCTGCACAACCAGATAAATACTGTATGATACAAGTGAACAAGAAAAAAAACAACCTTGGGTAATCCCCCTGTCTCACAGCTATAACCTGTGCAAAGACAAATGACTTGGTTCCATGTGTTTCATCTCCTTGAAAGCATAGTTCACCTGAACACATTAATATGCCCATATTAACTTTAGCACTTTTCCTGATTATGGCAAGGAGAAAGTTATATTAAAAGTACATTTTAAAGTAAGAACAAGAAGTTGGATCATCCCTTGTGAAGTGTCTTCAACACAGAGCAGCTGACAAAAAAATTTATCACACCCATTTATTAGATGAAATTCTTATTGATTCTGGTGGGAGTCTGATGGGAGCCTGAAAGACTTGGTCCAGCATTTATATAGTGCTTCATGAACAAATACCCTCTCTCTTGCCTTACATATTCTCTTAATTTTGTAAGATGTTCTACAGGTCATGAGCACCCACGGAGAAATCACGATTTTTCCAGGCCATCGAAATTGCATTTTCCTTACATACCTAATACTTGAGCCAAACCAAACCAACCAACCAAAGAAGCACCCTCTCAAAATCTCCAAAAAAGACAAAAAAACCCTGACTCACTTGAATGCTACTCCATGGGAACAACTTTCAAGACTTTCATGGAGCAGTAAGCCCCTACATGACACACCTCTACAATATCACTCTGTCATTTCTTTCCAATTCCTATTCCTTTATGTGAAGGAGTCTGACCCTTTCTAGTAGTGAGGTTGAAAAATCCTAGACCCACAGCTTAAAATAACTAAGGAAAATGCTTATGCATCATTTTGGACCTGCAAAGACAAGAAACAGTAGAAACTTAGCTGTGCACCCCTCAGCTTTGCCCTGGACTCAGGTTTTCTTTCAGAAATCAACTTCACTTTTTCCTTCATTTATTCTATACGTTGTTTACATTTAAAAAATTGAGTTCATTTTAAAATTATGCCCTTCATCTATTCTCTCTGATGGATCTCCTCTTTAAGAAATCCATACACAATTGCTACTTTAGCCAAAAATTACAGCAAAGGTCATATTTCATAAAGAATAACAAGTTTATTCCTCTGCTTTTTCCTTCACCCAAATCACCTTTACCACCAAGAGCACCACAATATCCATTGCTAACGAGCTAAGTTTTAGGCAACCACAAAACAAATCACTTCTGTTTTCTCAGGTTAACGACACCATTAGCATCAAGCCCCAGCTTTGAGCTAAAGGTTTAGGCACAGGCCAAGGTCTCTTCTAATTCCACAAAATGCTTAAGCCCTTTCTTTACTTTGGTGGAACTGAAGTTGAATTATGTTGATTATATCATGATGCTTTATTGGAAAAAGACAGTTCAAGGCTCTGAATCCAGGTGTAGGCTACAGTATTGCTGTGATGCAAAACTCTGGGGACAGGTTTTGTCACGTGCTGTCTAAATTACCTTCAGTTAATTCGTTAAAACTTCTCCACACTAAACTGCCCCATTCGCTAACAGCTCTGCAAATTCACCGACTCCTGCAGATTTAGGAAAAAAACAAGGGCTAACTTAGACTTTTTTTTTATAATCCTTTTCTACCACAAGGTAGAGAGGTTTCACTGAGCTGCCAACATTTTGGGGGTTGACAGGCAACTTCAGTCTGCAGAGAGGGCACTCATTTCCACAAGCTCAGCTGGGCTGCTTTCTAAGTTGCATTTCCTTTGACATCAGTGTAAACTAAGGCTCTCGAGCACCTTGGGGGAGGGATCCCACTCTCACTGTCAAGGTTTTGAGGAGCACATGAGTGCCGTTGCAACAATAGCACTTGCAGTAGCATCCTCACCCAGCTTCAGCAGTAACCACAGGACTATAGCCAATGCTGACAAACTGGAAAAACAAATAATACAAAAGAAGGAACAATGGAAAAAACCCCACAATTTTATATCTACTATAGACCTGATCCCTCCAGTGTACTTGAAGGTTCCACTGAGAACACAATTATATAGCACACCTGCTTGATGGTTCAGTTGTCACAGAGCTTGTTGGGTCAATACGAAATCCAGCCAAATATTCTTGATCTCTCGCAAATGATCTCTGTTAAAGATGAATTCCCTTATCCTCTCCCAACCTTCATCTTCACCCAATGGACATTAAAACTCTGCACTAACACCTCTTAGTCGCCAACAGCTGCAGGTTTTTTTTTTGTTACTTCTCTTTACCAACACAATTGCTCTCAGAGGAAGCGGCTCCTTCCTTCCCTCTTCCTCTCCTGCTGTACCCAGGAAATAACAAGGCAGAAGAGAAACCACACACGAAACTTTGCAAGAGGAAAGCTTGTGAAAGTTTAGAGTATTTCCTGAAAGCTCAGGACTATTTCTTGAAAGCATAAGCGTACAGAAGTAGCTGTGTCTAGGGGACACTAATGAGAATGGAATCCCTTGACAATTACTGTCAGTACCCAGATGATGACATACATTAAAAAAAAAAAAAAAACACACCAGAATTAAATTACATGTCTTGCTGTCTCAACACTGCAGCAATCCTTCCCCCCATAGCCAATTTAGCCCACTGGACTCAGGGGTGACCCAGCACATCATCTTCACTGACAAGGTGTCATCTATATCGTAGAGAGCAGCCTGAGGGCAGAGATTAAGCCACTGAGTCGCTGGCTGCTTGTGGTTGCTGCCAGAGCATCCTCTCTCTCAATTTGTGCCAATTTTCCTTCTAATAACCTAACTACCATTCCATCATTTCAGCAAGTTGACAGGGCCACTCTTTGAGGAGCTAGAGATTGTTTTAATATCACTGCTGCTTAAGCAGGAGCACCGGCAAAACCTACTAGTCACCTTCCCTGTCTCCCATTCATATCTGTAATTACAGCAAGACTGCTAAAAGCAAATCGACTGCTAGGGAGAGAGAGGCAGACTTCAGAAACAAAGTCTGGATCAAAAGGGACTCTCTTAAATTCATCACTGTTAAGAGCTTTGGCATTAATCCACGTTCATTTCCATTAATGAACTAGGTGTCAAGCCAGGTGCTGGAAAACAGCTGTTAATGGGGACCAAACGGGTTTACATCAGACCCGTTTTTCAAACCTGTTTTTAACCCTATCTAGAATCCTTCCCGCCGTTCCATTTTGGCTAATTCCTGTCTCAACCCTCCCCTTGTTTTAATGTTTTTACCATTTTTTCTGGAGATGTGCCTCTTTTACATTCTATGGTCTAAGACATCTGTAGGACAACACTGAACTCCGTCTAGGAGCCAACATAACAACAAGGACATAGTATCGAACAAGTTCCAAGTGTAAAGACCACTAAATCCACCCCAGCACCGAGGCATTTACAGGCATCAGTTTTACAGTAATAAATATTTACATCTGAGCTGAGGAGTCACTGCCAGGATATCACACGAGCTGACAAAAGGGACAACACCCGTTTGAAAGACTCCAACTGCTGTCAAGAGAGACAAACAAGCATCACCTTACCGTACTCGAAAGATCATAACTGCTGCTTTACGAGCAAATTTTATCTGGAAGGACCCAAAAGGGCTTTATAAACTCATTGTTTAGAGAGGAATGACTTCATCGTAAGGTGACAGACGGCAGCTGTTTAATGACATGGAGCATTATCACACAACGATTTCAGCCAGGAAGGGTAGAACAATACCATACCCGATTGAAAACTGCAGGGGGCTGCGATTTATAGACAGAGAATGTAATTACCTAA